AAGGAAGGAAGGAAGGAAGGAAGGAAGGAAGGAAGGAAGGAAGGAAGGAAGGAAGGAAGGAAGGAAGGAAGGAAGGAAGGAAGGAAGGAAGGAAGACGGACATTTGGACCTTATGCCAAGTTGTCAACTAGGTGTCCACGGTGCTCCAATGTCTACATTAACAAGCTTAGTTGTGAAAATTTCTTTATTGTATCATTAGCTATAGTTTACAAAGGAAAAAGAATCGAGTTCTGAACTCCAGAGACCTATATGCTGTAAACAAATGTGGGATAAACACCAGTATAAGAAATTATATGCTGTTTTAGTGCCAAACACTAATAAAGCAAGTTTGGGCAATTAATACTCTACAACTGGCTACCAGAAGACCTTATCTTCTTAACTGGATAACTAACAGGGAAGAAGAGATTTTGAGATTATTTTGCAAGAAACAGGAATCAGTTTGACCCAAACCTAGAAGAATTCTCTCTCAGAATAGCTCAATTTCTGAGCACCGATGCTAAAATAATTACAAAGGTGTAATAACAGAAGCACTTTCTTTTTGTCAAATAGGCTTCAAAGAGGAATCTATGAATAGGAAAGTGACCCTTCTTGATAACTTTGGGGTATTTTTTAAGGCTTCAAAAGATGCATTAAAACTTCTTATCCAACCAGAGTCCAACTATCATATTCGTCTACAAATACCTAGCCTAGTGTTACTGGCTAAGCCAAATATCTCTTGAAATCTGGGTTTGAATGAGCTCAGATAGCATAGCATAGCATAGCATAGCTCAGATAGCATAGCTCAGATAAATGGTCTAAGTGGCTTAGGCACTGCAGGGGTTGGTTTAATTACCATGAAACATTTAGGAAGGAAGCTCAGGTATCACCCTGTGCTAATGATGAACCTGCTGCTTAGGCAACAAAGGGCCAAATCACTAATACTAATGTAGTGTGTTAAATTCATGCTAAGCAGACACAAAGTGCTGGGCATCATCTCTGAAAAAGAACATAGGAGAAAGTGGGAGATAAAATTATCAGAAGATTTCTAACAGCAAGGGAGAGTTATAAAAAAGAATAAGAAAAAACATGGCAGCGGAAAACAAAACAGAATGCAAGACAGATGGATGCATGTTTTCACAGTACGTGATTCAGGTCCTATTCAATGAGCAATGGAAATAAATTTAAAACTAATAGCAAAAATTAAAAATGCATAACTACAACTGTATAATTCATTGGCACAAATTGGAATTAATGAATTTTTATAGAATTAGATGTTTAAGTTTATGATGAGTCATATTTAAATTAGGCAAGAGAAATAAATAAGGGAAAGGCTACAAGTAACAGAAGA